ATATATATAAATGCATGTGTTTGTATACAATCTTTACTTTTTGCCGGATTTTGAGTAATGTTCTCCAGATGTTTTGACTAAACTTTCAACCACCTGATCAACATTCATCAACCTTCTCGTATTTAAAAAGCCTTGATAAATAAATGAAATCCCCGTTTTTGTATATAAATACGTGCAACAAAATTTTTCATTGCCTCGATAAAGTCCCTCAGATGACGTAACGCCTCGACTAAAAATATTTTTTCCTTATGTCTCTTTTTTAATCATATAAATCATTAATCCTTTCGTCTAATGTCTTATATATGAGGCCCGTCTTTAAAATAACGGTTCTGTTGTCATGTTCAGTTTATTAGAATTTCAAATAAAAAAACTATATGATTCCCCCTTCAAAGTAATCCCTCTCGAGTCTAATGCAATTCTCTATTCTTCTCTGGCACGCTTCTATGCACTGCTGGAAGGATTCATCTTGGATGTCCCTCATTTTCGTTGTTACAGCCGTATTGATGGCCTCTGCGCCTTCAAACCGAGTCCTCTTGATGAACCACTTGAGTTTGGGGAAAAGAAAAATGTCGAACGGAACAAGGTCATGTGTATAGGATTGTTGAACTAGTATGACGATCTTCTTCTTGGTTAGGGACTACCGGATGCTCAGGGTATTGTGAGCAGGTGCAGTTTTATGGTGAAGCAGCCGCGATTTGACCTGCGATAACTTTTGTCACTTCTCGCGCAATGGAAGAAGCAAACGCCACATGATTTCTTTGTAGATTTGATAATGAATCGTCTTGTTCTATGGCCGTGATTATCAATGCAGGCTCTAGTAACCCCTTGTGGGCTTTGTTATGTTGAAAAGGGGCACCGAGAGATTTTGTTACATTTGGGAGGGAGGCAATGAGCATAATCAAGGTGGGTATTTAAGCACTTTTTTTTAAAATTTCCCCAAATTATTCAATATTGGTTACAAAAGGAAATTTCTTTAGCTGTATCTCAATCTGTGGAAAGCTATCAAATGTTTCTTCATTGCTTTTTCCAACTTATTATATGACTGAATATGGTTTCAACGCAGTTACACAGATTCTTATTGTTGTGGCTTCCGTGAATGGAATCCTGCACAAATAAATAAACAACGCCAGAATACTGACGTGAAGTGCAGTTTAGTAGTCCAGGAATACGGGTAAATAGAAAGAATATGTAGAAGTTTCTGTGAGTAAAGCCGTAATATCTCTCTCTCTCTCTGGACTCTTGAGAACACCCTGTGTCTGTCTCCTTATCTCTCAACCTGTCTCAACGTATCTTCACGTATTTCAACGTATCTCCACGTATCTCGTTTAGTAACATTCCACCCACGATATATGTGGCACAAGGCCGAGTTTAATGTGGGTCTCCCCGAGCCCGTAGGCTCAGCGCAGAAATATCCCCTTTGAACCCGCATAAGCTGGTTCGGGAACTGTCCACCTCTCCGGACGAAACCTTGCCCTTCAGCAAAGCTTCGTCCGTGTTCCTCCCTGCCAAAGCAGATAGTTCGACAGACATCGTACACAGTCAGAGACCGTATCTTGCCGTATCTCGATATTTAACAGTCCCCCCCACGAGGAATGTATGTGGCCCAAGGCCGAATTTAACGTGGGTTTCTCCGAGCCCGTAGCCTGTGCCAAAAAATATCCCCTTTGAACCCGGGTTCGAGAACTGTCTACCTCCCCGGACGAAACTTTACCCTTCGGCAAAGCAGAGAGTTCGACAGACGTCGCACACAGTCAGAGACCGTATCTTGATACTTAACAGTCCACCCACGAGGAAAGTATGTGACACAAGGCCGAGTTCAACGTGGGTTTTCTACGAGCCTGTAGGCTCAGCCAAAAAATATCCCATTTGAACCCACGTAAGCGGGTTCGGGATCTGTCTACCTCCGCGGACGAAACTTTGCCGAAGAGCAAAGTTTCGTCCGGGTTCCTCTCTGCTAAAGCAGAGTTCGACAGAAGTCGCACTCAGTCAGAGACTGCGTCTAAAACAGCAGGTATTCTCTCTGTCAGTATAAGTATACTTTGGACGAGTCAATTTTATTTAAAAGGGGGAGATCCCCACAACAGTTACTAAACAAAGAAACCGTTTGCAAATTATAAAAAGAGATCTACGATTCCTTCTAAGCAGCATGGAACCTAGAGTAAGAGACTTGTTCATTAAGCAGCAAAGTCAACCATCGCATTGAAAACATTGAAATAATCTATTAAATAAAATATACAAGTTTTTTTTTTTAGCATTTTAATCATTGGCATTTCGAATAGCAATAAAAACAATATTAAAATTATTAATGTACTTAATACTTAAATGCTATCTTTTTATGAAAGATGATTTCAGTATAATATTCGAAATTTAATTTGACACGTGAGGGATTTTGACAAAATGTTTGTGCTCAAAGGGGACGCTGGTTGAAAATACGGTTGGAAAACACTGTTCTATGGTAAGAACTCCTTGTGGATGATGCCTCTCTCATCGAAGAACAATCCCGTTACTTTTCTGACAGATCTTCGTCTTTTAAAAGACTTGCCAAAGTTTTTCTTCACTGTCAAAATCCACTGCCTCATTACCTCCTTCAATTCATCCATGAACTAAAATTTCCCTTCCAGAGGCGAATTTAACCATTCTTTAAATTGGTAATGCTAATATACACCGTTTCCCTATAAAGAAATTTTTGGTATTCATTGTTCGAAAAGGCAGTCCTATTGACGTGGGCTTTCGTCTTAACAATTTTTGTTTTTGAAGTAGTGTAGCGATATCATTTGTCAGCTGATATCTTTTTAAGAAGACTTATGACGGATATTGCAGAAATCACTTTGACAGTTATGGTCTTGACAAAAAAGAACAGCAGAATGAAGCTAAGCTTACAAAACATATCAAAAGATCCTTACAAAAAGGGTCAGCTGGGTAGAAGGGAAGATGAATAATTTTTTAGACGAAAGCTGACAGGACAAAGAAGGCTGTTCTCTATAAGACAGTGGTCCCTAGCAATCAAAATAACGAGGCTTCTCGGCTGTCACGGAAAAAGGGTGTCACACAACGGTTAAGTCGACGCTCTCTCACTCTTCGTCACACCGACTCGCCGGTCCTTACGAGATGGTTACAATAGAATAAAAATTTGCCGGCTACTATAATTTCGTCTCATACTTTGTGTGTGTGTGTGTTCATTTTTTTTCAGTAACGTGTCCGAATGCGAAGGGACCTGGTGTATGGTCTGAAATGCAAAGCTACACTAGTCTGGATTATCAATATCTTGCTTCTGTCATAATTTTACCTTTGGGTTGCATAAGCTATTAATTTGGACACTTCAGCGTGGTGACAGTTAAATGACAGTAAATTTTCTAATTCCAACACAAACTCAGTCTATATACCGGGGTTGAATAAGATGGTCGAATTTTTCGTCAGTTGAAATGCCCATTCACCCTATGAGATAATTTTGGATTTTATTGTTTATATATATATATATATATATATATATATATATATATATATATATATATATATATATAAAGGAAGGAGTAAATATATAATCCGGTGTTCTTATTGATATTTTATTTTTACATAATAGTGCTCAATGTAAATTTACAGAGCATTAATAGTATAAATTAACTGATTTAAAACATGTTTTTCGCTACACAGTAATAACAATGTTTCAAAAATAGAAGCTAAAAGTTTCAAATTTAATTTTGTAATTAAATTAAAAACATTAGTTCCATTTCATCCTCAAGCTAATTTTGTTGAGGATAAAATGGAACTAATGTTTTTAATTTAATTACAAAATTAAATTTGAAACATTTTGCTTCCATTTCTGAAACATGGTTATTACTATGTAGCGAAAAAACATATTTTTAAATCATTTAATTTATATATATATATATATATATATATATATATATATATATATATATATATATATATAAATCGACCTTGCTAACGGAAACGCTCCTCTGTGGCTCAATCGTTAAAAGCACGTCAGGCTATATGACTGGTCACGTATAGGATAAAGCTTCGATTTCTTTCATGGGACGCATATTTTCTATGAAAATTTCTCGGATATTCAGGCCAGTAAAAGTTGTTAATACTTTTTATTATAAACGGAGCGTTTACTTAAATATTTGTATCTATAAAAAGAACGTATAAACATAAAAAATGTCTTAAAAATAATAGTCGCATATATATATATATATATATATATATATATATATATGAAAGATATGTCCCATTATGAACATTTTCTATTTAGATATAAAGCCAAAAATGTATTGAAAAACTTTATTAAAATGTATTTAAGTTTATTCAAACATGGTAGTTAGTGACGTCTCTTTCGCAAAGTAACAGACGAAAAGATGACGAAAGAGATGAGGATAAATTGTGCTTGTGTATGTACGGTTCTAAGTCCTAGCTGTCAAGGTCTAAACTGGTGTGTAAGCTTATCTGAACATCTGAACATTTGCCAGGGAAATAGCGATAGTATAGTAAGGAGCCAGGAAAATTTCATCTCTGGGAAGGATGAGTAGGTTGGAACATAATTAATTAGCCACAAGGTCGGTTAATCTCTAAACTTCTGTCAGATATATTTCTACCCAGACTTTTAAACACTGAGTTTAGTTTCTGGAAAGCATCTTTCGTTATTCAAATACGCCTTCCGGTTGATGTGTCTCATTTTCCGCTGTCTTTCACTCCTCTTCTTCTTCTACTATGTGACATAGGCAATCACGACTCTCCACAACTTCCTACCCATTGCACACGTTAGCTTTTTTTTCCCGTCCACGTAAGGTCAACCCTTCTTACGAACATATCACGTTGAAACACCGATTCCGGTACGTACACCGAAGTTAAGCAACGTCGATCCTGGTCAGTATCTAGATGTGTGACCGCTTAAGAATATTAGGTGCTGTAAGCTTCGATGTGCGGGTGTTGTAATGCAGGAGGCGAAAACCTTTTGCTAACTATGTGCCGACTTAGGGTTTTAAAATCATTCAGCGTGTCAACAGCATACGTAGAAGTCATGTCCAATATACATGTTCTACAAGATATTTCATATAGTAACATATAAGTATATAGACTTTAGTATATATCAAAATTGAAACAGCTAAACATCTTATTTGCGTTGTAGTAGTTATTGGTTCAGACTTCGTGATGTCATTTGCGGCTGCGTGGCATTGGAAATTGTTTGGCGTGCCATGTGCGGCACATGTGTCAGGTGCGGCACGCGTACCGTAAGATGCCGCCCCCTCGTCTATTCTATTCACGAGTGTGTCATTTATAATATTTTTCAGAGTTTAATTAGAAAAAACACCGAAAACGGAATTTAGGTTTTTCATAAAATTTCGCTTGTCAACCCAACACAGCGTTACATCCTTAGCAGCATCCATTTAACCAGAAGTTGTTATTATTATTAATGACAGTCTAATGAGTGAGAAGTTTTGAAATAGCTATATATCTTCTTTGCGTTGTAGTAGATATTGGTTCGGACTTCCTTATGTCATTTGCGCCTGCGTGCCATTGGAAAGTTTTGGGTGTGCCACGTGTGGCAAGCGTGCCGTAAGTTGCCAACACCTGGTGTCATGTACAATGGCTCGGTTTGGTTCGTCATATTTACTTACATACAAATACCCTTGGAGAGATACAAATCCACCTATTCCCCTCCTAGCTATGGATTAAATAGTAGGACTTGTATCACTAAAACTATTATTTTTTTCCAAAGAAAAAAAATTGCATACGAAATATTTAGATTTCGATATTAAATAACCCGTAGAGGTTGATATGACGCAAAACAAAATTAAACAAACTCTTTCCTCACCCCCAGGTATTGATTTATCAGTAAGACTTGTATTATTAAATTATTATTATCTCCACCGACTATTTTTTTGCAATCTAAAACTATTTCTGGCTTTAAATTATCAGGTCATCCCATAAGTTCTGTCCGAATTTTAACTTTTTGTTAAAATGAACGAAATTTAAAGAGTATTTTATAATGTCTAATGGAGCTGAACATTATTTTTATGTTTAGATGCATTTAAACTGATCAAATTTTATTTCTGAGAACAATAAAATTAAATTTTGTTTGATTAAAACCTTGCTAACATGGAAGTACCCAAGAATCATTTGAGGCACATAATGCTTTATGAGTTCAAGAAAACTCAGCAGCCGAAGCGGCTAGAAACATTCACTCGGTTTATGGAGTGGAATGTGTTCATTTGCCTTAAATCAGTGTTTCTCAAGTTTTTTGCCAAATGCACCCCTTTTCCATATGTTAGAATCTCAACGCTCCCTTTTGAAAATTGTCCAACTCAAAAGGTGCATTCTAAATAATACGTATATATTATTGAAAATCTTCATTTTTTTTCCGTATTCGTACATATGGATTAATTCTAAATACGAGTTTGTTATATTTATAAAAAGGATGGTACTCAAATTCTAAAAAATAATAATTACAAGATTTTCCCTCCCAACTTGAAACCATGAAATTCCCTCCCTGTAGGGGAATTCCTCCCTGGTTAAGAACTTCTAGAAGTGTTATTGCAAATGTCTTTAATAGCTGAATGGTTAAGTGACTATGGATTGTTTTACACCCAGGAAAAAAAAAACAATTTTTACGGATGTCAAATTACTGACGTGTCGAATAACAAATATTCTTGATTTTTAATGTTGCCTGAGGATATGACAACCAGAGGCACAAATTTGCCTGTCCATTACTCGTAAGTAGGTGTATCCAGAATAATATTTACACACACACAGAAAGACAGAGAGAAAGAGACTGAGAGATGAGCAAAAACAGAGAAACAAAGAAAGATGCTCTGAAAGTAATGCCTCATTAATATTACTCTTGTAGCTGCAACTTGTAAAGGGCGCCCAATAACAGAGAAAAAAAATGATTACATGTTTTTTCCTGCAAAGATTGAGCTGATAAACGCGATTCGTTTGTTGCACGCATCGGTCAGGCCTCTGCTGAAACGCATCACTTAACTCCGTCCTACCTGTGCTCACATTCATTACATGGTCTCTGTAAACGTTCAGCAAGCGTCGATAAATAGCAAAATGTTTAAATATTTTGCATGAAGAATATCAATTTCACTATTTTGCCTTATTTTATCTTACATGTCAGACGCTATTTTGCCAGATTTTATCCTGGACCAAAGCAAAAAAGTTATCTTTTTGACAAAGTCAAATTGTGGAATATTACGACGTTAAATCATATATATTTTTAAGCGATCATTTTCTAAATTAAATATATATAGATCACAATTATCGATTTTAACGGAAATAATTTAGTTTTAAAAATGGATGTAGTTGCTTTAGAATATCCGATATATTTTTTTTCTTTTGCCTTTCTTTTCTGTCTATTCTCTTGGTAGTAGGGCTAATCTCTTATGCTGTCTTTTGTCTTTCTTTTCTGTCTATTCTCTTGGTAGTAGGGCTAATCTCTTATGCTGTATTTTGCCTTTCTTTTCTGTCTATTCTCTTGGTAGTAGGGCTAATCTCTTATGCTGTCTTTTGCCTTCCTTTTCTGTCTATTCTCTTGGTAGTAGGGCTAATCTCTTATGCTGTCTTTTGTCTTTCTTTTCTGTCTATTCTCTTGGTAGTTAGGCTAATCTCTTATGCTGTCTTTTGCCTTTCTTTTCTGTCTATTCTCTTGGTAGTAGGGCTAATTTCTTACGCATGCTGTCTTTTGCCTTTCTTTTCTGTCTATTCTCTTGGTAGTAGGGCTAATTTCTTACGCATGCTGTCTTTTGCCTTTCTTTTCTGTCTATTCTCTTGGTAGTAGGGCTAATTTCTTACGCATGCTGTCTTTTGCCTTTCTTTGCTGTCTATTCTCTTGGTAGTAGGGCTAATTTCTTACGCTTTCTTATGCCTTTCTTTTTCATCTACTCTCTTCGTAGTAGGGCTATTTTCTTACGCTGTTTTGTTTAATATCGGAGATAGAGCGTCTGTAAATATAAAAGTGAACATTGAAGTCAACAATTAGAGGCGACAGGCTTTTTCATGCTAGACGCAATCGCCAGGCCACGACTGCGTCTAGCTTTATATTATGCGTCTAGCTACATATATATATATATAGATAGATAGATAGATATTAGGGGGTTGAATGACTTTCTGACTGTTAACATCTATCTATCTATCTATCTATCTATCTATATATATATATATATATATATATATATATGTGTGTGTGTGTGTGTGTGTGTGTGTGTGTGTGTGTGTGTGCATACAGATAGATAGATAGATAGATAAATAGATAGATAGATAGATAGATAGATAGAGGTTTGAATGTTTTTCTGCCTGTTAGCATTTGATTTTATTAAATTCTCTTAAATATGATCTTTCCTATTAATAACGCTGTATATATAACTAATATTTTCTTTATTTTTCTCTCTACATCTCTTTCACTATGTATGTCTCTTCATTATACGTTATGTACCAAAAATACTTTTACAAACTTCGGGGGTGTGTTCCCTACAGTAAAACAAGGACAAAAGTCCACATAAGCATATGTCAGGAAATCCTTCGTTTTTGAGTTATTAAGCTTAAAGTAAGTTTACGGAAGATGGCGCTGCGTTGGTATATAGACTAGTTTACATTTGTTATTTGTGTACATTTGTAACTAGCCTGTCAGCGCTTAACGGGTGTAGTAACGAGTTAACTCAGAAGTGCCACGTTTAAAAGAATATTTAAATATTAACCAATTATACGGCCGTATCTAAAACTCATATCTGCGTGCTCAAAATATATATATATATATATATATGTATATATATATATATAGATAGATAGATAGATAGATAGATAGAGAGAGAGAGAGAGAGAGAGAGAGAGTGAGAGAGATATCTAAAGAAATAGATATGGAGGCATGGTGGCGTAATGGTTAGCGGCTTGGATTGAGTTCGAATTCCACTCGGATCCATTACATTCACTTAATTTCTAATAGCCTTGGGAAAATTATAGATCCTCTTCTTCTCCCTCCAGCTATGGGTTACTAGCAGAACAGACTGGGTTCTATAATCTTAGATAGTAACTGGTCTAGGAAAAGGTTAACTCTGAATTCAAAACCTGCGGAGGTTCGTTTTGGAGGATTTCTGTTTTCAGCCCTTCACGACTATAATCAAATCTCATGGCCTGGTGTTAGGCTGTCAGTTCCTAGGAACTGATCTGCTTGCCCTCATACGTCCAATTCGGCAGGAGGATATATATATATATATATATATATATATATATATATATATATAAATAGGTTTTGTCTCTGATGTGGGATTACATGATAGTATTAGATCTCATAGTTTTAAAATTATTTTATTGTGAAAAGATTATTTTCATGATAAAATATCAAACACACACACATATTTTATTACATAAACGTTATTTTTAGTGGTTACTCGTATTTGAGTAGACGCTCTGTTTATTTATTAAACACTATTTATTTCTATCTACCGGCATGTATAATCTAAAAATCTTATTAGGAAAATATACGATCTGCATTTTGGAAAGCAGTTCAAGAACTTCGATCAAAAAGTCTGTGCAAATGTCAATCGAGCATTATGGGCTCTATGCAGGTGGCATTTTAAATGTTTGGCATAGAGATTAGCTTGAAAAGAAAAGAAAGAACTCTTTATTTTCCAAATGTTTCCAAGAATTATTATATACCATTCCAATACCAAAATTATGATCTGAAATTGGAATGAAAGCAGTGAAATCACATACAATGAATCCATCATAAAAATTCATGATATAGAATAATGAATTCTAAAGACTGCACCAGTGTAAAGAACAATTATGACACATTTAGTATAGGAGTTAAGGGAATTTTTCATATAAAGGGGCAGTTTTGTTTAACATAGGAAGACCTACACACACACACACACACACACACACACACATATATATATATATATATATATATATATATATATATATATATATATATATATATATATATAAACCTAAGAACTCGAGTCATGAATCCTTTAGATCATAAGACAAGACTTTTAGAGAAGTGCTATACATTAACAAATAAATTGATTCACCAAATTACAAAATCAAAATCACTTGGACACATTCCAAAACAAAAAACAACTAAAATGGGGAACACATGTAACTCGAAGGTTAGGGCCGATGTATGTGTATCGTGGACCCTCTATTCTACTTCATCTCAATTTTCAAGGTAATCTTAATACAAAATTGAAAAAAGGAATATCGTAACCTAATTATGTGCAATAATGGATCTTATGCCATATAGGTAAACATTTCAACTCAAAAATTAATACAATGTATCTAAATAAAAATTAGACATAGATCCTTTCATCTTAAATAATTCAACAATGTTTTGCGGCAATTTTTAACATCAACTTGAGATTGTTCTTGTTAAATTGTTGAAAGATTTTAACAAATTCAACATTATAGATAAAAAATAATAGTGAATTTTACATTTTTTTTTCTCAAGGCTTTGTAGGAGTAAAACAAATTCACGGATTTGGACAAAATAATGGCCCCCGAATGACGACAAAATCCGTAATTTTTAGTCATTTCATATTCAGCTGTGCTTAGTTTAATTTCTAAGTTATATAAATGTAGGTATAAAAAAGGAAATGTTGATAAGATAGCGAGAGTCACAAATAACTCGAGGGGTTCAAGTGTAGTACGCAGCCGAAATTGTTAAATGAAAATCAATGATTAATGATTTGACATCCGACGCTGTCAAAAAAAAAAAAAAAAAAAGGTTGCAGAGTAGGACTCGGTACACTTCCCGCTCATTTCTTCTACTGGGAAAATGGACTGCTACTACTTATAAATAGGGCAAGTAACCACTTTAGAGTAGGATTTGTCTCGTCTTCGGAACATACCGTAGGGGATGTATGCTCAGTGGACCCTCTTATATTTATCCAGACTTTGTTCAGTTTAATTCCTCATCCTTGTTCCCGTTAAGTGGCCAGAAATATCAGTTCTCTTTTATATTTAGGACACGTTTCGTTTTTCGATTGTTTTTTTCTTTTTTCTTGTTGTGTCCGAATGCGTGTGTATTTGTCGGTGTGGTTGGTCAAATGATTGGTTTTAATTTATTCAATTCCTGCATTAATTTCGCATTTAAGGACTGTGTTAGGTTTTTGTTTAGTTACTTGTATATATATTATTATTCACATTGTAAATATTTATTGACGTATTTTTTTTAATATTCTTATTTTATTCTATACGCCCACAGAAAAATTACACATTAGGACTTCATAGAGACTTTCAGAGGAGGACCTCGACTTAGTGTACTGGTTTGTTTGATTGATTTGTTTTACGACATATCAAACTCAATGAGCTATTTAATGCCGACAAGTCTTTTCTTGCTGGCAATGTTTTTTTTTCTTTCTAAAATCTGTTGCTGGCAATATTTTTTCCTCAAATTAAAGTGTTAGTAATAATTTTCTTCAAAAATGTATTACTGGTAATAAATCTTCTTTAAAAAATTATTGTTAGTAATAATTTTTACAAAAATGTATTGCTGGTATTAAAACCTATTTTTATACTTTTATAGTGCTTTGACCAAAGTTTGGGGGTCAACTATTTACCCATAGCTGGGGCCCTAATAGGTGATTTTTTCCCAAAATGTATTGCTTGTAATATTTTTTGTCCAACAAAGTATTGCTGGCAATATTTTGTGTTCAACAATGTATTGCTGGCAATATTTTGTGTACAACAAAGTATTGCTGGCAACAACAAAATGTATTGCTGGCAATATTTTGTAATCAACAATGTATTGCTGGCAATATTTTGTGTCCAACAATGTATTGCTGGCAATATTTTGTGTCCAACAATGTATTGCTGGCAATATTTTGTGTCCAACAATGTATTGCTGGCAATATTTTGTGTCCAACAATGTATTGCTGGCAATATTTTGCACTATTTTTGTCAACAATGTATTGCTGGCAGTATTTTGTGTCCAACAATGTATTGCTGGCACTATTTTTTTGTCCAAGAATGTATTGCTGTTAGTATTTTGTGTCCAAGAATGTATTGCTGGCAATATTTTTTGTCCAAGAATGTATTGCTGGCAGTATTTTGTGTCCAAGAATGTATTGCTGGCAATATTTTGTGTCCAACAATGTATTGCTGGCAATATTTTTTCCAAAAATGTATTGCTGGTAATATTTTTCCTTCAACAATTCATTGCCAGTAATAATATTTAACAAAAAAGTATTGCTGGTACTAAACCTATTTTTACACTTTCGTAGTGTTTTGAAACCCAGTTTAGAGGGGTCAACTATGTGCCTATAGCTGAGAGCCTAACAGGTGCTACCCCCCGGGGTCAGAGTGGACCTGAGAACACTAGCAATTAAGAGGTGGTTCCACGCTCCTCAAAACCGCCTTGCTGTTGAATGTAATTTATTGCCATACCTAGGACGCGGATATAGGTTATCGTCATGCCTTGGTGTAATGGTTAACAAGCTTGTCTTGCTACATACAACTCAATAGTTAGTTCGATCCTCACTGGGTGCCCCATGCTTTCGGCCTTGTGCTACATCTAAGTTACTCTTAGAAAATCACCATAGAGACCCCGAGGTATTATGGTAATTGTTGTAAGAATGGTATGTAATAATGTGGTATTTTGGTGCAAGGAATATCGTATAATCTGTTTGGGTTAGTGATTGTGGATAGGTAAGTTTAAGATAAAACAGATGAAGACCAGCCTTCCCCATTCTTTAAGACTTGTGCCACATTTTTTGTTGTTATAGAAAAATGAATATTAATTGACTAGCATTTGGTTTACTAAATATTTCCGTTCTATGTATGACTATTTGATAAAACTCTTCTTCTATGTTTCATCTGACTTGTCTTCTTTTATTTAAATACTCTCCACAACTACAGGCTTCCTAATTCTCGGCTATTTTCAACAAAGGTAATGTTACAGCAAAAACGCGATAGGAAACCCCTATCCTTACTAGATGGCATAACACGAGTTACTGGAGTTGAGAGACATGTTTTCCCTAAAAACTGTTTTTAGAAAAAAACAAAAAAAACAAAAAAAACTTTTTAAATATAGACTCTAAACGTTCGGTCACTGGGTGCTGAATGTTCCTTGTATGGAAACATCTGAATCCACCATTACTATATTGTCCTTAATTGTGTAACGATCCTAAAGAATCCTTGTCAGCCAATTGGAATGCTTTCATTTCAAGCGCGTTTCTCAAACATCTCCTACCACAGGCATCTCTTGGTTTCAGACAAAGAGCCTACAAGTTTTCCAGTCGAAAGAAAGTCCCTGTTCTGCGGACTTAATAACAATGCCGCTTACATGAATACGCGCGCGGCCGTTCTGTCGTGTTTGTTGGTCGCAAAGCTTAAGAAGTTTTCTTAAATCTGAAGAAAGACAATTCAGAATCGAAAAGAAAGCAAGAGAAAATTGAAAGGACAAGGGCTTAGTGGCCTTAATGGACAAAGTATTCAATGCTAGCGTGGTAGAAACGATAATTGAGGACAGAAGGCTAAATTCTATTCGAACCGTCTCATGGCGACACACCGTTCGCTTAGCACGATTTTCGAAGTTTGTGGATAATATCTACGGAGCATTCAGAGGATTCTAGTTAATCGAATAAAGCACGCAAAGGAGGGATAGGTATTGACTCTTGGGTGGTCAATGAATTTACGAAAGAAGAAAAAAGATCGGAATTGCCAAAATAGAAGAAGGAAAGAAAAAATAGTAAAAAGAGAAGGAAAAGACGTTTGGTATATATTGAAATTCTCGGGAAAAGAAGAAGAAACGCCGGTGAGGAAAAGAAACACTGGGGCGAGGTAGGATTGTTACCTATTAAATAGATAAGTGAAGAAAGAAAGGAAAGAAGGAAGTAATGAAGAAAATGAAAGGAGAACAAGAAATAAGAAAGAAAGGAAAAAGTTAGGAAGGATAAATAATGAAGAAAATCGAATATGAAAGAATGAATGAAAGGCAAAAGCAAGGATGCAAAAAGTAATTAAGGAAGGAAGGAAGGAAGGAAGGAAGGAAGGAAGGAAGGATGAAAAAGTAATGAAGAAAAGAAACAAAAGAAAGAAAGAAAGAAAGAAAGAAAGAAAGTAAGAAAACAAAAAGTAATTAAGGAAAAGAATGGTGAATAAAAAATGAATAAAGAAAGAAAGAAAGAAAGAAAGACTGGAATCTAAAATAAAGAAAGAGAGAAAGAAAGAAAGAAAGAAAGAAAGACAGAATGAAAGGAAAAAGTAAAGATGAAAAAGTAATGAAGAAAAGAAACAAAAGAAAAAAAGAAAGAAAGAAAGACAGAAAGAAAGGAAAAGTAAGGAAACAAAAAGTAATTAAGTAAAGAATGGTGAATAAGAAAGAAAGAAAGAAAGAAAGAAAGAAAGAAAGAAAGAAAGAAAACAAAAAAGTAATTAAAAAAAAAAAATGGTGAATAAAAATGAATGAAAAAAAAGAAATGAATCTAAAAGAAAGAAAGAAAGAAAGAAAAAAAGAAAGAAAAAAAAAGAAAGAAAGAAAAAAAAAAGAAGGAAAAAGAAAAAGATGAAAAAAGTAATGAAGAAAAGAAACAAAAAAAAAAAAAGAAAGAAAAAAAAAAAGAAAGAAAAAAGAAAAGAAAAAAAGAAAAAAAATGATGAAGAAAACAGAATAAAAATACTGAAAGAAAGAAAAAGTAAGTAAACAAAAAATAATAAAGGAAAGAATGGAGAATAAGAAAAAAAGAAAGAAAAAGAAAAGAAAGAAAGAAAGAAAAGACAGAAAGAAAAGGAAAAGTAAGGAAACAAAAAGTAATGAAGTAAAAATGGTGAATAAGAAATACTGAAAAGAAAGAAAAAAGAAAGAAAAGAAAGAAAAAAAGAAAAAGAAAGGAAAGAATGGACTGGAATAAAAAAAGAAAGAAAGAAAAAGAAAAGAAAGAAAGAAAGAAAGGAAAAACTGGAATCTAAAAAGAAAGAAAGAAAGAAAAAAGAAAGAAAGGAAATAGTAAAGATGAAAAAGTAATGAAGAAAAGAAACAAAAGAAAGAAAGAATGAAAGAAAGAAAGAAAGAATGAAAGAAAGAAAGAAAGAAAGAAAGAAAGAAAGGAAAAGTAAGGAAGGAAAAATATGATGAAGAAAACAGAATAAGAAATACTGAAAGAAAAGAAAAAAAAAAAAAAAAAATAATAAAGGAAAGAATGGAGAAAAGATGAAAGAAAAAAAGAAAAGAAAGAAAGAAAGAAAAGAAACAAAAGTAAAAGATGAAAAAGTAATGAAGAAAAGAAACAAAAGAAAGAAAGAATGAAAGAAAGAAAGAAAGAAAGGAAAAGTAAGGAAGAAAAATATGATGAAGAAAACAGAATAAGAAATACTGAAAGAAAGAAAAAGTAAGTAAGCAAAAATAATAACGGAAAGAATGGAGAATAAGAAAGAAAGAAAGAAAGAAAGAAAGAAAGAAGGAACGAACGAGATGGAAATACGAAAGAAAAAGAAAGAATGGAAGAAAAAGTAAAATGAAAATAAAAAGAAAGAAAATATAAAAACGAATGAAAGAAAAAAGAAAGAAAGAATAAAAGAGTGAATGAAGAAGAAAGAATTAGAAAATAAAAAAAGATAGAGAAAAAATATGGTTTAAAAAGTTATACTGATTTCTAAGCGTAGCATACATTTGGTACAAGGCCTAAAGGCATTATTCAGTCGTAATTGATCTAGCGAAACAAGTGACAGAACTAATTTCAACTCGGAACTTAATCAAATCGGAATTAATTTCAACTCGATTAAAAACACTAACCCTAAACATTAGTTCCGAGGTGAAAATAGTTCCGAATTTGAATTAGTTTCGAGTTGAAATTAATTCCGAGTTGAAATTAATTCTAAACCCCAGCGAAACTAGCGTGCTAACCATTACACCACGTCGAAGGACCTCAAATGATTTTCTAATCGTAGCTGTGGCAGCAGACGATCAAACTCACTACTCAGAGATAATTGATTTATCGAGACAAGCTTGTTAGTAATTTCACTACGTCGAAGTCCTCCGGCATTTGCGTTACGAATGAATTGTTCAACCATCTTTTTCCTTGTTATTCACAAATACCTTCAACTATCAGTAATTGCCGAGAACGGATGTTAAGACCATACGAATGATGATAATATTAGCTGTGTCCTTATAAGGAAACATTCAGCATCTATTGACCGAGCAGCCAGTGCCACTGACGACTGAAAGTTATAAAACAATTCTTATAAGAAAGATTCCTCAAGCTGTTATTGCCCTTTCCAGTATTGAATGGGGATTTATTTAAAGTCGTGTAGAACGTCAACATCTTGACTATGTCATTATTTTCTCTACAAATTACATGTGCCATCCATTTTAGTTGTTGCTGCAGTTGAAAGTCCTCAAGTTATTTCGTTTTTGTTATTTGGTACAGTTACTTCTTTGTGATTCTGTACCGCCTGTAAACAAATCTCGAAGAAGTGAGGTTTGGCCAAAACTGACAGACCTCACTCACTCAGTGCCATTTTAACCATTGATCCGAGAATGAGTGTGTAAACAACTGATACAGCTAAAATGTGTCCATAAATTCTCATTACAATTTTTAAAAATTATTACAAAAATAAATCAACAGACAAATATTCGGAAATTGTTATAAAATGAGGAGCCCATCTAGACGGTACTCGATTTCTTGCCATGTTCACTGTAGCATAGCCTCATCAATAGTGGCAATGGTATCAATGATCTTTTGCTTTAGATCAGTGATGTCTCATATCTTTGTTCGATACACGATATCTTTAAGATAACTCAATAGAGAGAAGTCCAAGGGAGCGATATCTGGTGATCGAGGAGGCCAGAGAATTGGGTCATCCCTGTGGAAATGTTAGGGGTTCATTTAACAGTACCGTTCTCATAAGCAGGATACTTGAAATACAAAATTGCAATGTGATTAAAACTTTTATAACTAATGAGTACATAGAACAAATCTAGTTAAGATATCTCATTAATCGCCTTAGTAACATATATTTAAATTGTACACAGACTTTATGGACACCTATATTTTATATATATATATATATATATATATATATATATATATATGTGTGTGTGTGTGTGTGTGTGTGTGTGTATACACACACAAGCGACCGTCGAAGTCAACACTCGGAAGCGACAGGCTACTTCATGCTAGATGCAATAGTCTAGCATGAAACAACATATCTCCTCCGAGTGTTGGCTTCAATCCTTATGTATTTACATACGCTCATATTGAGCACTGTATCCCATAAATATAGCCCACCTTATAACTATATATATATATATATATATATATATATATATATATATATATATATATATATATATATATATATGAGTGTGTGTGTTTAAAAAATATAACAAAAACAAATGTACAGACCAGTATGTGGGAAATTGTTACATGATAAGGAGAAAATATTGATTTTTTTTAAAACTAATTAAATACACGTCTATAAGGGCAGCATTAGTTACACGAAGCAGATCAAAACGGTACTCGATTTGTTGCCATGTTCGCTATAGCATAGCCTCATCATTGGTGGCAATGGCATCAGTGATGTTTTGCTTTGATCATTGATGTCCCGTATCTTTGTTCGATACACGATATCTTTCACATAAACTCATAGAAAAAATTGCGTAGTTTCGTTGAGTCTGCGTATCCCATTTTCTTTCAATAAACCATGGCACACATTGTGCCTTTTCTTGAGGTGGACCTAATTTTAGGGGTTCATGTAACAGTATCTTTTTCATCAACGGGATACCTGAAATAAAAAAAAATCAATGTGATTAAAACTTTGAGAACTACTGAGTACAAAGAAAAAATCTGATCAACTGCTTTTGTAATATATTTTTTACATTGTAAAGAGACTTTATACCCCGTATAAATATTGAGACCCCGTATACATGACACTGATATGAAATCTCGATCTGACTCGGCCATTTAAGAATATATCACCAGTTTTCAGTTTAATGATTTGGTTTTGTAGCAAATGGCGGTATTATGGGAATTTGCCATTAGAGCGTCATATTCCATGTTCAATTTCCTTATCTTTAAACTTGTTATAATTGATCCAGAGAGTGAGGCATCTGAATTGGTTCGTATTTGCTAAATGCACATCCTGAATTGTTACGACAGATTCAGCATACACGCCATCTTTCTTTTCATTTTAATTCCAATTCTTTGTAGAGGATCTTTACACCCGACACATCATTGCCATGTTGGTTTCGGCAGCTAAAGTTGGTTCAATCGGTCACGCCAGAAGTTTTTTCTCGTCTGACTTCGTCCTTCCAATTTACAAATCTACCATTTCTCCTTACATTGAATACTGTTGTTTGGTGCTCCCGCTGTTCTTCTCGAGATCCTTGACAAAATCCGGAGACGGATATGCAATGTGAGAGGTCCCGATCTGTCATCCCGTGTACAGTCATTTTCGCACAGACGTGATGTGGCTTCCCTCCGTCTTTTCTACAAATATTTTCATGGCAACTACTCTGACGAGCTACTTTCACTGGTACCCCAACTGCATGAATTTAAGAGTGCTACTAGATTGGCATGTCGGTCCCACCCATTGACAGTCGAAACAGTTAAATGAAAACACCTTTTTAACTACAACAGTTTCTTCTCTCGCTCTTCCCGGCAGTGTAACTCCCTTCCTCTTACTTGCTTCCCTGATAGCTACAATCTTAAAATATTCAAATGTAATGTCAATCGACATCTTTATCCTTTCCTCAAACACCCCTCTTTAATCTTGCTTTCACTCTCTGTAACCACTTGCATGCTAGTTGCATTCCCGCCTTGCTTGAGGGTGAAGTGCCCAAGATTTAATTGACTAAATTCTGGCATTTTTCAATTATTATATATGGAAGTAATTCAAAGTGATATCATATATATATATATATATATATATATATATATATATATATATATATATATATATATATATATATGTATATATGTATATATATATATATATATATATATATATATATATATATATATATATATATATATATATATATAAAAATATACGGAAAAAACAAACAAAAATCCTTATATACAATTATGCTGTTTTAATGTTAATATGTCAACGTCGGACGTTTCGGTCTAATAAACCATCTTCAGGACATATTCATAAATTATAACATTATCAATACAACATGTCAAGGACGATGTACATGAGTTATTTGTTTGGATAAGTCATAATTGTACATCGTTTTTGTTTGTTTTTTTTTCCATATATATTTTTCTTCATACTGTCGGATCTATATCCATATATCCATATATCTATATATATATATATATATATATATATATATATATATATATATATATATATATTGCAAATTAATTAATTTAGATTAGTATATAGAAATTCCGACAAAATCTATTTTCAATCAAAAATATTTAATGAAATGTTTCTATTTGTCATTATATATATATATATATATATATATATGTATGTGTGTGTGTTTGTGTGTGTGTGTGTGTGCGTGAGTGTGTGTGTGTGTGCGTGTGCGTGTGTGTGTTCGTTGAATAACCTGTACATATAATGTCTATTTATTTATTTTTTTTTTTTTAATCCTCTCAAATTCACGGATCATTTCTTAATGTGGTTATTAATCTCCTTAAGGGAGAACCCGTAATTATTATCATTTCTTTTATTGAACTACGGCTTCTTCTTTAATGATTTTAATAACGACATTAAGAAATTGATCAGTGAATTTGAGAGGATTAAAATAAAAAATAAATAGACATTATATGTCCAGATTATTCAACAAAACACGCTTGAAGGAAGATATACTATATCTGTCTCTCTCTTTCTTTCTCTCTCGATATATATATATATATATATATATATATATATATATATATATATATATATATATATATATATATATATATTGGGTGTCAGAAGGGATATTTTTTACACTTTTAGCTTATAAATTTGTCCTCGACATCAAATACGAAAGCAATTAAGTTGAATCATTTAAATTCTCTAAATCTAGTTCATTGGTGATTCAACCGACATCAAGTTGGTCGTAGCAACAGCTTAAAGAAAGGATCTCATCTATCAACCGAAATTTTTATGGCGTTTGCCTTCATAGAATGTAGAAAAAAAGAAACAGATAGATAAGAAACAAATTGGTTAAAAATGAGACTTGCGAAAATACTAACCTATTAATATTTTTGTTTTCTCCAAATTCTCTAAAAATATTACCTATATTTCTTCAGCTTTGTTCTGAAAATCCGCCATTTTCATCGAATCATCCATTCTTCTATATTTAGTCGTGACCAAATCATACATATATCTACTTAAATTTGCTTGTTGTTAAATGAAATAATAAGGAATATTTTGCAACTTTAAATTTTTTTTTTCTCTTAATTCGACTTATTTTGTTCTACGTTACTTTCTTAATCTTGGAATAATTATATTTCCACCTTATTTATTAGCAACTGTGAGGAATGATCTTTTTATCTGTCGTAAACATGGCAAAAACGCATACAGCCATTCGTAATGAGACACAGCACAGCCTCAGTGCGCATGCGTGATTTTGTATTCATGATGATATGTAGTTTCGTCTCCATTCTTTTAATTGCTTCTTTGACATTTTTTTTTTTTTATCTAAAAATTTCTGTACTTCTCTTAACCGGTTTACATGTTTTCCAGTCGATTTGAAAGTTTTTTTCTTTTTTTCATTTTTTCTTTCTTTTCTTTTCTTTTTTTTTGGGCTAATTTTATTTTTAAGAAAGCGTTAATTTCAAGAACAGTGCATAGTGA